ATGTTACATATGCTGTCACCATCCTGACTCATTTGACATTCAAAATAATCCTGTGTAGCTGCAAGACAAACATCATTTAGTCTATTTTAGAAAAGAAGCAGAATGACATTTACAGAAGCAAAATAATTGCTGAAATTTATACTGTTAATAAATATCAGTGCCAAGATTACATCTCAGTCTTCTGATTATAGTTTCACTATTTCAGCATCTATATTTCAGTATTCGTATGTGATAACATTCCATAACAGATAGCACTTTCTGAGCATTTATTATGAAACAGACACTTTAGTAACTGCTATTTATGATCTTTCTTCCTTTTAGTAACAGTTCTATGAAGTAGGGATAACTGCATCCATTTTGTAGATGAGAAAACTGAGACTTTGATAGATATAGGGATTTAACCAAGATCATACACTAAACGGCGATTAGCACTAATAAAACTTAAACCAAGGCAATCTAACAATACCTGAATAATTCACTACTGCACTTCCCATATTTTGTAAAATGAATACATCTTAGTAAGTATATATGTATCAGTTTGTTCTCATGCTGTTAATAAAGACATACCTGAGACTGGGTGGTTTTTAAAGAAAAGAGGCTTCGTTGACTTGCAGTTCTGCATGACTGGAGAGTCCTCAGAAAACCTGAAAACCTGCAATCATAACAGAAGGCACCTCTTCACAGAGCGTCAGGAGAGAGAATGAGTGCTGAATGAAGGGGGTAGTGCCTTATAAAACCATCAGATCTCATAAGAACACACTCACTGTCATTACCCAATGATCAGACATGTGTATAGCTATACAATTAAGATTTAAAAAGAGCTATAGGAAAATGGCAATAGAAAATTATGAGAAGATAATAGATAAATTAATTTTAACTGGGATTCTATGGTTTTATCTAGAATCGTAGCCAATACAATTTTCAAGCAAACAGTGAAAGATCATACCAGGTACTGGGATGAATGAGCTTTCCTCTATGAACAAAAAAGATACAAAGATTTATTTAGGTTTGTGATATGAAAAGTGATCTACTTTTAATATGCCAATATAGAGGTCATGTGGAAAATGAACTAGAGAAGAGAATGACAAGATGCAGAAAGACAATGCAGAAAGTATACAGTTAATTCAGGATATGATTGGGCAAAAACTAAAGTAATTACATTAGGTGTGGAAAAGAGAAAAATAACAGAAGTTTCCCATGGATCTAGCCATATTCCTTTATTCTTCTTCTGTATATGCAACTTGATTATTTCACAAATCCCACTGAGGCACTTTCTTCCATGAATGTTGATGACCCTGAAAATGATGTATCTATTCTAAGCCTTATTTCAACTCCAGACCCAACTGTATGTTGGGGAGCTCTACTGAAGAAAACACTCTAGATGTCAAAAATTTATGTTTCTCACCAAATCTTATCTCTCCTCTTTCATTTGCATTTCTATCCTCCTTACTGAAATACAATTAACTTTTCTCTGTATAATCATCCACTTAACCATTAAAAAACTAAGTACCACAAATAACTACTTTTCATCTTCACATTTTTAAAAACAATCGTTAATGTTAATATTTAGGAAAGATTCACAGAGGAAAAAAATAAGAGTAATCTTCAAGTCAACTCCTTAGCAAATATAAGCAATCATAAATTTGACTAACTAATCTGGTACAAAATATTTTACACCTTTTTTTACAACTGAGGTTTTTTTTGGCAAAATATGCTGCTAGAATTTCTAGCCACTAATAGATAGTGATGCAATATTGATAAGCAAGAGAAGAAAGATGAAAGTAAAGATGAAAGGAATAATTATTAGTGTACAAGAGAAGAGATTAACAAATGTTCCTCTTTTGCCCACAGCACATCTACCACTATTGATTTTTTGTTTTAGGGGCACACATACATTAATTTGATTTATAAATGATGTTCAATATTACCAAGAACACAGATTTCATTAGGATATGCCCTCTATAAAAGTATCTAAGATGGTATATAGGAAATTATTTTTACCTGTTAATCTCTGATTTCTTCAACCTAAATATAGAAATGTGGTCTGACAGTCAAAATATATTACAAAAAAATCACACCTTTGTTATTATGAGCTGTAAACAAAGAAACTTAGATCAGCTCTGGACCAAGCGGACGTAATCGACATCTACAGAACTCTCCATCAAAATTCAAAAGAATATACATTTTCTCAGTATTACATAGCACTTACTCTAATATCAACCACACAATTGGAAATAAAACACCCTTCAGCAAATGCAAAGAACGGAAATCATAACAATCTCTCAGACTACAGTGCAATCAAATTAGAACTCAGGATTAAAAACTCATACAAAACCACAGAGCTACATGGAAACTGAATAAACTGCTCCTGAATGACTACTGAGTAAATAACGAAATTAAGACAGAAATAAATAAGTTCTTTGAAACCAATGAGAACAAAGACACAGTGTACCAGAATCTCTGGGACAGAGCTAAAGCAGTGTTTAGAGGGAAGTTTATAGCACTAAATGCCCTCCTCAGAAAGTGGGAAAGATCCAAAATCAACACCCTTACATCAGAATTAAAAGAACCAGAGAAGCAAGAGCAAACAAATTCAAAACCTAGCAGAAGACAAGAAATAACTAAGATCAGAGCAGAACTGGAGATAGAGACAAAAAATCCCTCAAAAAAAAAAAATCAGTGAATCCAGGAGCTGGTTTTTGAAAAGATTAATAAAAAAGATAGATCAGTAGCCAGACTAATAAAGAAAAGAGAGAAGAATCAAATAGACACAATAAAAAAATGATAAAGGAGAGATCACCACTGATCCCACAGATATACAAACCACCATCAGAGAATGCTATAAACACCTCTATGCAAATAAACCAGAAATTATTGAAAAAATTGATAAATTTCTGGACACATACACCTCCCAAGACCAAGCCAGAAAGAAGTCAAATTCCTGAATAGACCAATAACAAGTTCTGAACTTCAGACAGTAATTAATATCCTGCCAACCAAACAAAAGCCCTGGGCCAGATGGATTCACAGCCAAATTCTACCAGAGGTACATGGAGGAGCTGGTACCATTTCTTCTGAAACTATTCCAAACAATAGAAAAAACAGAGCTCCTCCCTAACTCATTTTATGAGGGCAGTATCTTCCTGATACCAAAACCCAGCAGAGACACAACAGAAAAAGAAAATTTCCGGCCAATATCCCTGAAGAACATTGATGTGAAAATCCTCAATAAAATACTAGCAAACCAAATCTAGTAGCACTTTAAAAAGCTTATTCACCACAATCAAGATAGCTTAATCCCTTGGATGCAAGGCTGATTTAACTCATGCAAATCAGTAAACATAATCCATCACATAAATGGAAGCAATGACAAAAAACACATGATGATTAATGGTTGCAGAAAAAGCCTTCAATAAAATTCAACACCTCTTCATGCTAAAAAGCACTCAATGAACTAGGTATTGATAGAACATATCTAAAAAATAGTAAGAGCTAGTTATGACAAACTCATAGCCAATATCATACTGAATGGGCAAAAGCTAGAGGCATTCCCTTTGAAAACCGGCACAAGGAAAGGATGCCCTCTCTCACCACTCCCATTCTACATAGTATTGGAAGTTCTGGCCAGGCCAATCAAGCAAGGAAAAAAAATAAAGGGTATTGAAATGGAAAGAGAGAAAGTCAAATTATCTATTTGCAGAATACGTGATTGTATATTTAGAAAATCCCACCATCTCAGCACCAAAACTCCTTAAGCTGATAAGCAACTACAGCAAAGTCTCAGGATACAAAATCAATGCGCAAAAAACACAAGCGTTCCTATACACCAATAATAGACAAACAGAGAGCCAAATCATGAGAAAACTCCCATTCACAATTGCTGCAAGACAAAATACATAGGAATACAACTTACAAGAGATGTGAAGGACCTCTTCAAGGAGAACTACAAATCATTGCTCAAGGAAATAGGATTCAAACAAATGGCCATGGGGAGGAAGAATCAATATTGTGAAAATAGCCATACTGCCCAAAGTGATTTATACATTCAATGCTATTCCCATCAAGCTACCTTTGACTTTCTTGACAGAATTAGAAAAAAAACTGCTTTAAATTTCATATTGAACCAAGAAAGAACTTGTATAGCCAAGATAATTATTAGCAAAAAGAACAAAGCTGGAGGCATCACAGGAAGCATCACACTACCTGACTTCTAATTATGCTACAAGACTACAGTAACCAAAACAGTATGGTACTGGTACAAAAACATATATAGAGACCAATGGAACAGAACAGAGGCCTTGGAAATAACACCACACATCTACAACCATCTGATCTTTGACAAACCTGACAAAAACAAGCAATGGGGAAAGAATTCCGTTTAATAAATAGTGTTGGGAAAACTGGCTAGCCATATGCAGAAAGTGAAACTGGACTCCTCCTTATACTTTATACAAAAATTAACTCAAGATGAATTAAAGACCTAACACCATAAAAACCCTTGGAGAAAACCTAGGCAATACCATTGAGGACATAGGCATTGGGAAAGACTTCATGACTAACACACAAAAAGGAATGGCAACAAAAGCTAAAATTGAAAAATGGGATCTAATTAAACTAAAGATCTGTGCAGCAAAAGAACCTATCATCAGAGTGAACAGGTAACCTACAGATGAGAGAACATTTTTTCCAATCTATCCATTTGACAAAGGGCTAATATCCAGAATCGACAAAGAACTTCAACAAATTTACAAGAAAAAAAACAACCCCATAGGCGGAGGATATGTAACAAACCTGCACATTCCACACATGTATCTTAGAACTTAAAGTATAAAAAATTTTTAAAATGTCCTAAAAGATATAAAAAAAAACAAAGTGACTGTATTTGAAGTGTTCAAATATATCTCTCATCAAAAAATGTAAAGTAAGTTAAAAACTGGAATATTATCTTTATGTAATGTTTGAAAGGAATTATTCTAAAGCATTCAAAATAATCTCTCCTGATGCTTTTGTAGTTCAAGAATGTGATGATTGGGTGATCACACACATGTGTGAGATGTGCCACCCTTGAACCTTGTTACAGCATTGGCACATTATCCGTTTGCCATGAAATAAAAAGAAGAAAAATAATCTCTCCTAAAATTTCTAAAGAGAAAAACAAATTATAATCATTAAATGTCAACTTTTTTTCAGATTCATCATCTGCTCTGAAAATATCAAATTTTAAGTCAAAACAATTAAACAAAAATGTTTTGAAAGCTTAGTCACATCTATTTAAATATTTTAGTAAAAAGAAAACCATTTTCAATAATCACAGAAAAGAAGAATGGAATTTAATTGATCACAATTTTTTTTCCCTAGAATATATTTGACATCACATATTCGTTCAAATGAAATCATACTCGCATCTTAATTTGTTTATTTGTATAAAAACATGCCAGGAAATAGGCTGACAAAATATTCATTATTATATTTTATACTAACAAGCACTAGGGAGCCATAAGCTATGACTTTTCTTATTTATGATATCAGTTGTCCTTACCTGATAGTATCTGAAAACATACACATTTGTGATTCAAATTATAAAAATATAGTTAAAGGAAAAATGGATGGAAGAAAACAGGATGAAAAAGCCATTTGATAGTTAATAAGATTAAAACATTTATTTCTGTTGTACATAGGTGTTTATTTATTTAAGAATAAAACATGTATCTACCTGAACAAGCAGTACACAAGGACAGAAAATAAAATATAGCATTTGCCACTTTACTGCTCTTTTCATTATTAAAAATATAGGATCTTATAAATTTCATATGCAGTTGCATTTTTAGACTTTTATAATATCTGCAATGTTTTTTAAATTTTGTTAAAGGGAATGAAGAGTTCTATACACAATAGTCTAGGTCATTTAATCACAAACCATATTTCATTCTGACTATGTAATGCCAGAATTATTCCATTGTTTGGGAAGTTCATGCTATTCTTACACATCTTATTACTGTATGTTTGCATACGATCAGCAACCCCATCATCGCCTTCAATAAGCAACATGGGGATAGTGAATCAGAGATAATTATGTTTTCTCTGAAATTCTACCCATGAATCAGTTAATTTATATGGAGATCTGGTAAGCTCACCATGTCATTTGTACTTCTTAATCCTTCTTTTATTAGCTATACTTATGAGAAAATTGTATCATTATTTTCCTACAAGCCTCAAGGCTCTATTAATTTGTATAGTCAAAAACACTTTCAAGTGGCCTTCCTTTCTGATTGGAGAATTATTCATACTGTGTCTCAGTTTGACTGAATGTGTCTCATTATTTATACATGTACACTTTATTCTGTGGGTAAGAATAAGCACTGAGGAAAGCAAGGTCTTAACAGGTCCTGAAATTTGTTGTATATGTCAGTGGGTCTTGGTCTGTATCCATCAGTGCTATGACTATCCCCTCTCAAAGGCTGGAGTAATTTTTTATAGTCATTTACTAACATTATTTTTATTAAGACAAGATTGATTTTTGAGTGGGGGGGAAAGAGATTGTGTCTTCTAAATTCTGAATTTCTGTCAATTAATCTAACAGTTGTGGAAGATTTCTAGTCTTACATGGCAACAATAAAAAGAGTACTTGGAAAATAGAACTATGCCCATTGATTAAAATTTGTTTCCCTCCTTGCCCTGGCACACAGTAGGCCTCTAACACTGAAATTTCATTTCCATCGATATTTCTGAGCTGTTAAATTTACAGAGTTTATTTATTCCAGGTCTTCCCTTTGTGTTCCAATTTTTGTAAAAACCTCAAGCTTTAAATGAGCACTTAAAACACCATTTTATTCTTTTGCCGAATTCTTTGTTATGTAGATTGAAGGAAATTAAAATTCTTAATCTCAGTAAAATAATAGAAGCATATACATTAAGGAAGTATAAATTGAAAAGTTGCATATTTACCAAGGGGATATGTCACTATGCCATGTGAGTCCTATAGATTTCAGGGACATAGCTAGTGAGCTCAAGAAGGGGGCCACTGTGACGAGAAATAGTGCCAAAGACAGAGTAATGGGACATGAATTCAAAAACTGAAACCCAGTTTTTGTTAGCATTTAGAACATCATAAGATCATTTGGCTTAATAAATCAAACACAGATGTTGAACAGTTTTGAACAGATATATGATGAGCTAAGTTATATTCTATCACCATCACTATGGATGGTGAGCACTGAGATGAGTCTACACTGTAAACGTAGTAAAATATTGTTTTATGGCATGACAATAATCCAGGTAAGAGATGATGGTGGCTTTTAAGTAGTAGAGATGAGAAAAATGATTTGATTCTGGTTATTTTTGAAAGATTTTCTGATAGATTTGATGGGGGTGTGAAAGAAAGAGATACTAGAGACCATTCAAGGATGTTGGCTTAGTCAAATGGATGGCATTGCCATTTGTATCATGGAAAGATTTTCACAGCAATTGCATCTGGTAAAGGTGAGAAGTTCAGTTTTGAAGATGTCAAGTGTAATTTGCTTATTAATTATCTAGGAGTGTGTGTGTGTGTGTGTGTGTGTGTGTGTGCATCTGTATCCTGGCATTTAAATATATATGGACAGAATTCAGATAAGTCTATACTGAAGTTATAAATTTGAAAGTTGTCTGCATAGAAAATGGTATTCAAAGCCCTGAACACTGAATACGATTACCCAATGAGTTAGTGTATATAGAAAAGAGGCAAAGAAAAGGAGGAAGAAAGAGGGAGATAAGCTTGAAGTGGCTGGTGATGTCAGAGGAAACAAGGACAGGAGTATGGTCAGCAGAAACCAAGCTCAGTCAAGTCTAAGAAGTAGTTAAAGAAGAAGGGACTAATTTGCTGGGAGAAATAATGTTTATACATCAAGTAGATTGCTGACACAAAACAGATGGTTAGAATTAGCAACATTGATAGTCCCTGATGATTTGTAAAAGAGTCACACATACCAATATACAAATGAATTCTGGTGAAAGTATGCCTAATTGAAGCTGTTATAGTAGTCTCAAAAGAGAATGGGAAAATAATAATCCAATAGGAGATGGAGAATATAACATTTTACAGGGATTTACCATAAATAGGAAGGAGAAAATGAGATCAAGAGAAGTTTCACTTTTTCTTTTTCACTTATAGGGTGAATAATGACATGTTTTAATTCATAAGAATTACTAGTGAAGAGTGGAAATATTAAAATATACCAAAGAAACATGAATCTTTGGAAAACGTTCTTAAGTAGGTAATGTAGAATGGGATCCAGAGGGAAGGAAAATCTTAAGAACATAGGATTCAACTATGTCAATAGAAGGACGATCAGAATTACATGGGCACCACTTCTGGATGTAGGTATATAAAGTTGTGGGATTTCATGAGAATTTTGTTTTTATTGCTGCAATTTAATCAGTATTTGAAAAGTGTATATTTATTTGTTCCTATACATTAAAAGTGCTCATCTGCTTAAACTATTAATGTTGCCTATGTAATAAACATCTGGAAAGAGTTAAAACACATCTAAAATTAGTCAGTTTAAAATATTCTTCACAAATTTGATTGTAATCTACTTATTATACTACTTATCTACTGTCATCTACTTACCCAAACCAGCCTGCTCCCTACCTCACTCTTGTCTTCTGTCTTTAGAAAATTTAAAATCCGTGAGAAAATTTAATCAAGACAATTTCTGCATGTGTGTGCATAAAGTGAAGGGTGTGGATAACTGCTCTTTTCAAGTCATATATTTTCTGTAGTAAAGGTAAGAAATCATGTTTAAATTTCTGTGGGTGTGCATATGTAAAGATTGCAAGGTTATAGGTAATCGCTATTCACATTTGCTTTGCAATGCTCACAATTTATAATAGAAAATCTATCTGCTTTTGTATGTCAAGGACATAGAAAAAATGCAAGTGTTTATAAATTAAAGAAAGAAATCAGAGCCAGAAGACTGGGAAATTGTAGAAAGATTAATAATATCATTGAAAATCCAATTTGCCTGCACAGAAAATCCTATTTTCTAGCAGAAATATTAATATCAGAGATGTCTAACTAGGTTATTTAAAGATTAAATTTCAAGGGATGGAGGAGTAAGAACAAAAACAAAGTCAAATAAATAACAACTAACATTGCAGAAACTTGAGATCTTACAGATGAGTGTTACCTACTTAAATATCTTTTGATTATAGTAAATGGAAAAGATTATTCCGAGTTCTATATTTTGAAAGAATTTGCGGAGATCATTAAGCACATTTTCTTTAAATTAGGCCAGAGTGATTTAAGACACACTGTGGTGCCAAATAACGGGCAAGTACCAGAAAAAGTACGTAAATTTAATATGTATAAGCAGGATCTTAAATCCTAGCTCTACAGAGAGGGCAAAGATGGAGTTTATTTTCACACATAAGATTAATGAACATGACTATCTTTTCATTTCATTTTATTCCTTTTAAAATGTTACCATATTTTCAGGAAATTTATGCATTTTATTTCTTTTAAAATGTTAGCATATTTTCAGGAAATGGGTGAAATCTGTCTCAATATTTCCATATATTACAAATACATAAATAAGGCAATCACATTCATATAGATTATGTTACGAACTTTGCAGCAATTTACAGACTGGACAGGTTATGTTTTTCTTTTTGTAATTTTTGAATTCCTAAAGAGGCTTCATCTTTCCCCTAAATGTCTTTTTGCGGAACTGCGTTCATGCATGGAGAAGTTTTATTTTGTAAGTACTAGACACTATTATCTTTCATTTTTCTACTTGTTTCATCAAATAATGGCAAAACAAATGAATGAGACAGCGTTTACCTATCTTAAAATTATCTAGGAGTTTTTGGCTTTCAAATTTGCTTCAAAATTGAATAGTAGAGATATTTTTCTAGCTAAACAGTGTGCAACCACGGTTTGTCTACCAAGTTCAAGTTTATATGGCATTCATCATGGAGAAACATGATCTTCAGTTATGCTCGTCAAGCTTCTATCTATATTATAAGGCCAAAATAAAAACTTTTGCTAGCTGCCTGAGATTTAAAGTAAAACTCTTATTCAATAGTAAAGATGAAATTTTCCCATAGCCTACTTTCTTTAGAAGT